ACTTTTAATCCTCCAATAGATATCCCCGCTGAAGATCCTATGGATGCTCCATTCTCCCTGGACGAACTGAAATATGTCCTTAAACAGGTCCATGACTCTTCCCCTGGAATAGATGGGATACCCTATTCCTTTATTGTCAATGCTGGCACCAATGCTAGGAAATATATCCTCCAAATTTATAATTCTTGCTATACAAGAGGTTGGGTTCCAGCCCAATGGTCCACACACCTTATAATCCCCATTCTAAAGCCAGGAAAGCACTCTGATGACCCTAACGGTCTCAGACCAATCGCTTTAGCTTCTACCCTAGCCAAAATATTTGAGCATTTAATAAAAAAACAGATTAGAATGGATAGTAGAATCCAGAGATCTACTCCCCTCATCACAGTTTGGTTTTAGGAAGAGTCTTGGTACCATGGACAGTGTAGGGACCCTTATTGCTGATATTCACATAGCCCTATCTAAAAAGGAATCTGTCGCTGCAGCCTTCCTAGATATTTCCTCGGCATATGATAGTGTTTTTCTTCCCCTTCTCAGGCAGAAACTGCAACAGCTGAGACTTCCGGCGAGCATGATACAGTGCATATACAGCCTACTGATGGATCGTACATTGATTTTGAGAGTCCAGGGTGAAGATTTCCCTCATAGGAAGACATGGAAGGGCCTTGCTCAAGGCTCTGTCTTAAGTCCTATGCTGTACAATCTCTATAAGGCGAACATAGGTTCATGCTTAAACAATGACTGCCATATCTTGCAATACGCTGACGACCTTGCGCTTTACGTTGTCGAGAAAACTATAGAGAATGCAGCTTCCTCCCTTTCTATTTCCCTGGGATCTCTGAACCAATGGCTGAAAAACACGGGCTATCTTTGTCAGCAACAAAAAGCAACATAGTGATTTTCTCGCGTAAAAAAAACTACCCTCAGATTTCCCTCAACATAGAAAACCAAGCCATTCCAATAAGTCCCAAAGTGAAATTCCTGGGCGTTTATCTGGATCAGAAATTATCTGGTACTTATCACATCAACTTCCAGGTAGAAAGATGTGAAAGAATTGTCCCAATTTTTAAAGCCTTAACTGGCGTTTGGTGGGGTGCACATCCATTTACAATGAAACTGATGTACAATGCATTAACCCGTAGCATTATCGATTATGGCACATTTCTTCTGATACCGTGTAACAAGGGAGCTCTGTCCAGACTGGATAGAACCCAAGCTAGGTTCTTGCAAATTATCATGGGCTGCATGAAGTCTTCCCCTGTTAACGCTCTGCAGGTGGAAAGTGCAGATCCACCACTTGCTCTAAGAAGACAATATTTGGCTTCCAGATTCCTCTCTCGCATATTTCTCAAATCGTCCCATCCTCTCTTAAGGAAATTATCCGAACTGGATCACCTCTGCACTGTCTCAAACTTCTGGAAAAATAGGGAAATCCCTCTAATCATTAAAGCGTACCGTATGTTCAACAATCTAGAAGCTCCCATCGTTGATTGTGAAAGACTACCTATGTTTAATATAAGCTATGAAGTCTTATGTTTCAAACCATTAATCGCATACGACATTGGTATCTCCAAAAGTTCACCTCACGCAGAACTTATTTTTACGACCAAGATAAACGAACGGTGGGCAGGGTTTCAAAGGTTCTTCACAGATGCATCAAAACTTTCGGATACAGGTTATACTGGGGCAGCTGTCTACTACCAAGATTCGCAAATAATTTTAAAACTTAAATGCCCAATAGAATCCTCTGTGTTTACGGGCGAGTGCGTAGCGATATTAGAGGCTTGCCAGTTCATAGATACGCACAACATAGAAAAGGCAGTAATTTTCACCGACTCGCTGAGCAGCTTGCAAGCTCTAGAACAACATCCATTACAAAGCAAGTTAAATAGCTCTATAATCTTAAGCATCAAACAGTCCCTCTTTAAATCTGCCAATAAGGGTAAAATCATACAGCTCGTTTGGATCCCAAGCCATACAGGTATAAAAGGCAACGATTGTGCTGATATTTCTGCCAAAAGTGCGGTTTCATCGGAAGTCGCAGACAGGAAATATTTTTGCCTCCAAACTTACGACCTCTTAAACCTGCCTAAAAAGGAATTACTGACTTCTTGGCAGTCGTATTGGCATAACTCGGGGAAAAAGAAAGGCAAATTCTATTACGCTATCCAACCGATCGTAAATATTAGACCCTGGTTCTTCAAATATAAGAAATCGTCCAAAACTGCCGTATCAGTCCTATGCCGTATACGCATAGGACATTGTTGTTCGCCCATTTTCCTACATAAAATTCGTGTTCAGGACTCTTCTCTTTGCGAATGTGGCTTAGACGAAGGCACCCTGGAACACATTTTCTTCAGTTGTTCCAAAAATCTTCCTTCTCTTGACTTATACCACCGTCTAGCAGAGTTAAAAATCCCGCTCCCGATCAACATGGCTTCCCTTCTCACCTATTTTACTCCTAAACTTACCAGGACATTGATGACTTTTATCCATTGTAACTCCATAAAACTATGACAAATTTAATTAATCATATACATGTATACTGTTGTATAATGCAATTAAATGTTCTAACGCTTAATATATATAAGAGCTTATCTTACAGATTAGTTTTGTCTTTGTTTCAGCATACTAACCTATTGTCCAAGAAGGATAAACACATCCAGTTTCAATGTCATCGCTGGATAAACTATAGATTTCTATTACAGGTTTTTGAACAAATTGACCAAACAGCTTCTTAAATTCGTTCATAGTGGATATTGTGAAATAAAATTGGTGTGGTTTTGTGTAGCAACTGTCTGCGTAACTGAAGAATTAGTGGAATCATTAAAATATACGCTATTCCGGTCAAGTGGACGTGAGAATTTTATTGTAGTGTTGACTCCCTCGCAGAAGCATATCGAAAAAGCCAACTCGATGCATTTCGTGCCAAACACTCCAAGAAACATTAGAATGCGTCACACCGACATTCTAATGTAAAAACAAAAAGAAGATAAATTTAATTAAAGACTAGGCTGTATGGGCATTGTTCCCTTTGCCTTCCCTAAAACGGGAGAACTGCAACAAAAAAAATTGTTAAAGTTATTTAGTATTCGTTGTGCTACTGGCAGTGTTTCCACAATGAGGGGAAATTCCCCTTTTAAGGGGAAATTAGGGTCCAGAGGGAAAGAAAAAGGGGAAAGACATGAAAAGAAATTGCGGGAAATTATGGGTAAAGCATAGCCTAAAATAATGCGGCACGGAACAAATTTTTTATGGACTATAACGTTAACTAGAGTGTTGCCGTATAAAAGAAACTGTGGCAACACGTGCAGATTTTATAATATAATAATTTTTGAGGGGAAAAATGTCCTAAGAAGGGGAAATCTGAATTGAGGCATGGGGAAAGGAAATCTTTAAAGTGGAAACACTGGCTACTGGGGCTGGATTTCTTTTTTTTTGTTCCTTTTGGTATATTTACCTTTCTCTATGTTTTTGGTTTTTCATGTTTTGTGCCACGATAACCATATTTACTAAAGGAGCCTGAGTAGACCTCAGAAGCAAGCAAGGAATAGGGACACGATATCGAATAGAAAGTATCGATACTGTACTCATGAGTAGTATCGGTAAAAAAGTATCGTACTCGTAAAAGTATCGAAACAAAAGTATCGATACTTCAAAGTATCGAGTACATTTCATAGGGCCTTATCGGAGCCTATGTGGCCTGATGAGCAAACCCGCCCCCCCCCCCCTCCCCCGTGTTAAAATTGAAAAAAAAAACAATCGAATTTTATTATAGTACGTATAATCAAAAACAAAAAAGGACATGTTAATTCACATATTGCTATATTATATAATGAAAATAAAATAGCTGTGATTTCTGACACTAAAAAAGTGTTCATTAATATTCTTTTAAATAAGTATACACAGCACAGACAGAATAATAGTGTTACACTTGAATAAATCAAATACAGTCAAGCGAAAAGCACAATAAACGGCGAATCAATCACAGTTCCTAACAATATGGTCGCTAAATAAATAACAGTAACTATGAAACAAAACAAAGCGCAAAATAAACACAGTCACAGATTGGAAAGAATTTGAATATGTCAGTTACTGACTTTATAACAACGCAATGGGTCATTTGACAGTATCAAAAATAAAGTGCCAAAATAACGAAAAAGATATTAGTTTTCTTATCTATTGTCACGTGATCCAAAACGCTTCGGATTAGCGGAGCCTAAAATGACGTCACACGCAAGTAAACTTCCGGTCAAAGTGACAGTACATTGTATCGTTTGACGTTTTAATAACAGTCGTGTGACGTCACACACTAGTAAGACGCCATATTATCCAGAGAAACGTTTTCGCGGCAACTTGAAAATCGAGTTTTTGATTTGGTTATTTTTACTGAAATACACAACAGAATGATGAATATCCACTTTTTATGAACTCCATAAACATTAGACAATAACGTGAGATCGTTGCCTAAAACTTGTCAAATACCCTATGGAACGTTTTAGAAGGTTTGCTATGATTTGACAAGATGGCGTTGCCATCAGTATGAGGCGCTAATCCAAATTTTTTAAAGGTATCGATACTTGCCAAAAAGTACTCATTTAGTAAAAGTATCGAATACAAAGTATCGAGTACAAAAGTATCGGTATCGAAAGGAAAAGTACTCGATACCACAAAGTATCGATACTTTTTTCGTGTCCCTAGCAAGGAACAAGGGATTCTAGATAAATTATTGAACTTTGGGAAACTTATGAAGAACCAATTAGCCGTAGTAATTTGTGCAAGAAATATAATAACCAAGGAATTTTTTCCTTGCTTAAAATTTACTGCAAAGGAGTATACTTAAAAACATGGCTGTATAAAAGCAATTTGTAAATAGGTACTCTTTGATGCTACCAGGTTAATTGAGGTTAAGTCAAAATATTTATCAACTATTTTAATGTTCAAAGAGTCGCAGAAAACTGCTTGGTAATCGTGAGGGAGGACTTATTGGAAAAATCAAAATGATTTCGTATGAAAACAAAATAATTTTAGCACCTATGGTACGTATTGGCACACTGCCTATGCGTTTATTAGCCCTACGTTATGGAGCTGACATTGTTTATACTGAAGAATTAATTGACTGGAAATTTTTACGATCAAAACGGAGATATAATAGTGAGTATTTAAAATAATTGACCTTGTAGATCTCTCTTGCCAGTATAAGTACTATAGCCACGCAATATGTGCATTATTCCAAACTGTAAATGTGGCCTGGATGTAGACTAGGTCTGCAAGGGGCAAATTCCTAAATATGAACCTACACTATAACTACCCAAGAAGAGCTCACTTAGTTTTAGTGGGAATACCTGTGAGCATGGACAAGGTCATGTTATAAAGACAGGAAAGGCCCAAATAATGCCAAAGCTTTACCCAATGGCAGTGAACAGTACTTTATTTGTTTCTTTGGAATAAATTAATCATGATTAAGCTTACTTTGTTATTTCAGGCATACTTCGCACAGTAGATTATGTTGATCAAACTGATGGCACAATAGTTTTCCGGACTTGTGCTGAAGAGAAAGAAAGGGTGGTTTTGCAATTAGGAACTGCGGATGCATCAAGAGCTATTAAAGTAGCTCAATTAGTGTGAGTTTCATTGTTATTTTTTTAGTATACTAGCTGACCCAGTGAACTATTAAATTAGGGGTTGGTGGTAGAAGGTTGAAAATGTAAGAGAGCATGTATTTTTTGTGCTGAAGCATAAAAAAATTACCAGAATTTTTGGGTGTACCACCACCATATACTTAGGGATACGAAAAATAATTTGTCCTATTCTTAGATCTACTGAATATACACACAAAATTTCATAAGAATCTGTTACTCATGTCACAGTGTTTGTGACATGAAAATTTTAAATATAGATTATTATCATTTCCAGATGCAATCTAAGAGTATCCCTTACTATAATTTAATTCATGTACGCATTAATAAAATGTTGTAGGCAGAATGATGTTGCAGCAATTGACATTAACATGGGATGTCCAAAAGAATTTTCAATAAAAGGAGGAATGGGTGTAGCCCTGTTAGCCCAACCTGATAAAGCGTTTAACATACTATCCACTTTGGTGAATAATTTATCAATTCCAGTAACTTGTAAAATTAGAATACTAAGTACACAAGAAGAAACAGTGAAGGTTGTGAATAAACTTGTGAGCTCTGGGATCAAAGCCATAGGCATTCATGGGAGAACACGAGATGAAAGACCACAACATGCAGTACACACAGATGTAATTAAGTATGTTGCTGAAAGGATATCAATCCCAGTTATTGCAAAGTGAGTATTTGGCCCAAAATTATTATAATTAATTCATAAAATTGTTCAATTCTTTCACAATTCTCCTTCCTTTATAATCTCTATAGAGCTTAATAAGGATTATAGTCTGTTCCAAAGGAATTTAGACCAAAAGTAAACATACACTTTACCTACAAATTCCCAAGCTAAGACTCACTAAATTGATTTCTCAACACATTTGCTTGCATTTTTAGGGGTTTGACTTATTAATTCACTATCTTTTATAAAACTAATTTCTCTATAAATGTATGAAAATTTTAAAATAAAAACTTGTTGAAAAGTAAGGTTTTTTGTAAGATGGGAATTGTCTGTTGTCTATGGTTAAACAGTGTTGCACTGAAAAGCCTATTCAAAAGGATTTCAATAAACATTAGTAATCAAATAGTGAATCAATTATTTATTTGAACTGATAAGTAACACAATGAATAATACAGTTTATGGAACATAATTTTTGTATTATTGCAAATATGAGCAATTAAGTTGGTATATTGTTTTTAATTTTAGGTTTTATTATATCTTAAATCTTAATTATGGATTGTTGTGGTATTTTAATTATTCACTTAATGTTTCATCCTGGATATTTAAATGTAAAAGTGGTATAGTTTCATATTTTTAGTTAAGATTTACATATAGCATAGACGCATATATATAATTGACAAATATATGACGATTGTTCAAAAAGAGTTTTATTATGTAAAGAAATATAGTTAACTATATTGCCAATTATAGCTAACAGCCAGAGTTCCTTTTTTGAGTAATGACAATAAAAAATTATTAATGCTACAAATTTTGAGTATAATGATTCAATTGATCAATTGATTTTGATAAGGCTCTATGAATTCCCATCACTACTAAACTGTCTATGGTCAGACTTACCTACCTCTTAGATACTTTTGATCTAAATTTGTTTGCAACAGATTATATTATCATGAAGTTTAATCATGAAGTTTTTAAGTTTAAAAATTTTGCTAGAATTGGGCAAAGGAGCCTAAAACTTAATTTTACAAAAAAGAATTGAAATATATTTTTAATTGTTCCAAAATATGTTTTAGCGGGGGTTCTAAAGAAATAGAAAAGTATAGTGATATAATCAAGTTTAAGGAAATGACTGGTTGTAATAGTGTTATGATTGCTAGAGCCGCAGAATGGAATTGTTCTATATTTAGAAAAGAGGGTTTACTACCAATGGACACTGTAATAAAAGAATATCTTAAACTTGCTGTGGATTATGACAATTCTCCATCCAACACTAAATATTGTATCCAAAACATATTAAGAGATTTACAAGAAACACCAAGAGGAAGGCAATTTTTGGAGTGCCAGACCCTAGACCAGATATGGTTTGTATGTTATGATAATATCATAAAATCACACCTAATTATTTTCAGAAAATAGCAGCTATGACCACCAAATATTTTGTCTATTTTAGTGCAATATGGGACTTAGAAGATTATTGTCAAGAAAAACAAACACAGTATCAGAAAATGGGTATTCAGGGCAGATGGCAAGTATCACCTGATGAATTGGAGCCACCTCAAAAAAAACAAAAAGCTATTGACACAAACCTAACTGATATCATTCAAATGAAGGTAAATATTAACTCCAATGAAATAATGTAAAGTTAAAAAACATAATTAAAGCATTCTCTCTTCATTTTAGGTGAGCTTTATTAGAGCCAATTTCAACGATTTGAATTTACCAAAGTCCCAACTTCATCTATGGGCAGGGAAGAATGGACATAAATTGCCGATTTACGAAACACAACAAATTGAGAAGCTGTTTCGAACAATCATTACTTTCAATGGAAAAAAGTATACATCATCATTTTGGGAGAAAAATAAAAAATTTGCAGAACAAGGTGCAGCTTTAGTATGTTTATTTCACATAGGCGTGGTAACAGAGGATGACTTAGTACGATTTGGAAGCATAATAAAATAAAATATTACAAATTGAATAATTTAATTCCACTTTACTAACCTTTCATTTACTTATAAAAAAACATTTTGTTGTGTTTGTTGTCATCAACTTAAGTAATTTTGTCAAATTAGAGTAGTGTCTGTTAACACACTAGTTGTGGAAAACTGCATCACACATGAAAGAAGAGCTGCCATTGGCTAGAGTGAACACTGCAATACAATACAACACAATAACTTACATTCTTCCGATACTGGCTTGTTACTGTGACTGGTACAGTACCCATAGAAATGATTATTCTCACTGATATTATTTATTGTGTGATTTCATGCTTCCTATATTTTCAACTAATTTATTATTGAGTTCTTCTAAAATAGAATTCAACTCGGTCATGTTGTGTAAATCATGTTTCAATTGTAAAAAGTTCTGATGACATACGGACGCATTTTTGTAAAAATCATCTTCTGCAGGTGCTACTCCTGTAGACTGTTCCGTAAGAATGTTGATATCGGCTAAATCTTCTAGTATTTGTAAAGTACTAGGTAATTTAGGAGTAGTGTATTTACTAAGATCCATGGTATGGTCCTGACAAATTGTTTACAGTTTATTACAATTGTACAACTGTCAATGTCTTCTACGCCGCAACTGATATATAGCGGTGGGCGTTTAAACGATAAGCGCTTAATTAAGCGCGCTTAAAATATTAAGCTTGTAAGCACGCTTTTACAAGTATAAGCGTTATAAGCTTTTCACTTAAAAAGTGTGAGTAAGCTTTTCACTTAAAACAGTGCAAGTATATTTTTTACTCAAAAAGTGCAAATCCCGCCATCTATGTCTTTGCCAGGAAACTACATACTTCGATCCTCCTAGTTCACTACAGTATCGAAAAATGGGTACGCGGAATTCCTTGGAACTAAATATTTCACAGCATCACAGCATGGAACTAAATATTTCACAGAAAACACAACACAACGTCGCGCTTTTTACGCATGCTTTTGAACGTTTAAGCTAATGAGCGTTTAAATGAAAAAGCTTTTTTCAAGCGCGCTTATTTTAAAAAGTACAACGTTTAAACGCTTTTAAGAAATAAGCCGTTTTTTCCATCTCTACTGTTATAGCTTATAGCTCACAGACTTACATAGATTCTAAAATTCTAAGTCTGTCCTTATAGCTTTACTTTTTTTAAATGCTCCCATTTTAGTGAAGGCAAAGTGACAATACCCATACAGCCTAGTCATTAGTTTTACACAAATCTTTTTTTTACATGAGAATGTCGGTGTGACCCCCATGACCCCCCCCCCTCTGGATCCGCCCTTGGCGGGACTTTGTAGTTCCGAGAACGAGGTAGCACAAATATTTCCTCAAGCGATCTTCGTTCCTTTCGGAATTATTTCCGTTATCATGTTCGCGTTCCGTTATCATGTTTTTGGAACTATGTAGTTCCGACAACGAAGTAAGCACACACATTTCTCTTAATTAGTTCCATACTACAGTGCTTTGTGTGGGGCAATAATTATTTGGTAAATACAAAATCTATTTTTTGACGTGGTAAGTTTTGTTGTGGATCGGGACCAATCCACTATTTTCAGTTCGTTCAATGAAGCGAGGACTATGGTAAATAAAAACACTGTTGCGTAGTTGAATTAAATTTGTCTTGCATGTAAAAAACTTGTAAAATAGCACAACACAGTTTTAACAGCTTAGAAGTAATTGCGTATTATTTTTAGAACCAAAAAACCACAGAATAACTTGGTTGAATCACATAGACTAAAAAATCATTTATTGGAAAACATAGACTAATAATTTTAATTTAAGTAACACAATACATCCGCCACACTACCCCCCTACGGAGAGAGACAACTAGTCTTTGAAAATCTTAAATCTAACGCGCCTACCTGATCGTGTGGTATAAGGCGGAGGTGTAGATGAATGTGCAGGTGCGGGTGTTTGTTGATCTGTCGTTTCCCCAGGAGTTTTTTTATCTTTAGGACAAGGCAATTCAGAAGCAGCCTTAGTTAATTTATTTGTTGTTGTAGCTGTAGACATAGGATCTTGCAAAATGAACGCAGGCTTGATTCTGTCTACACTTACAGTAACATTTTTACCTTTAACACTGATAGTAATTGTTTTACCATCAGTAGCCCTTTTTACCACTTGGTATGGGCCACTATAAGGAGGTTGCAAGGGACGGCGAACAGCATCTTCGCGAAGATAAACGTGGGAGGCAGAATCGAGATTTTTAAAAACAAAAGAAGTTTTATTTCCATGTCGAGATGCCGGTACCGGCCGAATTCCTTCCATGTGATGTCTCAGTCGCGTGACGAAGTCGTTTAAGTCACCTGAAACCTGAGGATGTAGAGACGAAGACACTACCATTTCCCCAGGGAGACGCAGCGTTTCGCCATACAGCATTTCTGCTGCGGACGAACCAATGTCTTCCTTGTAGGCAGATCGAATTCCTAATAGTACAAGAGGTAAAACACTAATCCAATCGCCACCGTGGCACATAATCGAAGCTTTTAATTGGCGATGAAAACGCTCTATCATGCCGTTCGCTTGCGGGTGATATGCGGTAGTTCTAATGCGCTTGGTAGCAAAACTCTGCATCAGTCTGCGGAACAAATCTGATTCGAATTGCGTTCCTTGATCGGTCGTGATGACAGATGGCACGCCAAAGCGAGAAATCCATTCGCGAACCAAAGTCTCTGCAACTTCTTCAGCCGTGATGCTTTGCATCGGCCAGGCTTCAGGCCACCTTGAAACCCGATCTATAGCGGTTAAGCAGTATCGAAACCCTTTGCAAGGCGGTAGGGGCCCGATAATGTGGATGTGCATATGCATAAAGCGACCACTGGGTGTGTCGAAATTATTAAGTGGGGAAGAATTGTGTTTAGAGACTTTGCTGCGTTGACATGCGACACATGTGCGAGCCCACTCTCTGCAATCCTTGTTGAGCGCCGGCCAGACATAGCGATCAGCTACAAGACAAGCCGTAGCACGAATACTAGGATGGCTCAAACCGTGAAGCTTGTCAAAGACACTACGACGCCAATCTTTTGGGACAAAAGGACGAGGTTTTATAGTAGAGAGATCACAGAATAAGGAGAAACCTGTGCCAGGTACGCTTATTTTTTTAAGACGGAGGCTGGAATTTTCCAATAGTTGAGGCAATTCCGTGTCTGTTTCTTGAAGCTTGGCGAGACCCTCATATTCTTGCTCGAGTGAGATTGCGTCGATTCGGGACATGGCATCCGCAACAACGTTATCCTCCCCTCTAATATATCTAATAAATAAAGGACAGTTGGTTGAACTGCGGTGGAGGAAGCTTCTCGCGGCGTTGGACGAAAGCATACAGCAACGGCTTATGGTCTGTAAAAATGGTCACATGTTGGGCCTCGACGATGTGCCGAAAATGCTTTATACTTTCGTACACAGCTAATAGCTCGCGATAGTAAGCTGGCCACTGACACTGTTGAGGGGTCAATTTTTTACTGAAAAATGCAAGAGGGGACCAATGGCCATCAACAAACTGTTGCAAACAGGAACCGATATGTACATTAGATGCGTCAGTAAACAACCCGAGGGATGCATTCGCGACAGGATGGTGAAGCAAAGTTGCGTAGGATAAGCTATTCTTGCACGCTTCAAAATTCTCAAGGAGCTCGGGTGTCCATGGATATGGTTTTTTACCCTTGCTTTTTGTTGCTACCAAAGCATTTATTAGTGGGGCCTGAAATTTCGCAGCATAGGGGATGAAACGCCGATAGTAATTTAACATCCCAAGGAATCTCCGCATGCCTTGTACATTTTCAGGGGGTTTAAAATTGATATTGGCTTGGATACGATCCTGAGGAGGTCGTGTACCGTCTGAACTGATGTGATATCCGAGAAACATGACCTCACTTGCACCAAGGACGCATTTTGATGGATTAATGACAACTCCAAAATCCTGGAGGCGCTTGAAGAGGGTGCGAAGGTGCACCATGTGAGTGGCCGCATCTGGTGAAAAAACCAAAATGTCGTCTATGTATGGAAAACAGAAATCGAGACTCCGTGTGACCTCATCGATAAAACGCTGGAACGTTTGTCCCGCGTTTCGTAAACCAAACGTCATGAAGCAAAATTCGAAGAGGCCAAACGGAGTTACGATGGCAGTCTTGGAAATATCTTCTTCAGAAACGGGAATCTGATGATATGCTGTCACCAGATCAAGTGTGCTGAACACCTTGGCACCAGAGAGATTATGCGCAAATTCGTTAATGTGCCGAACGGGGTACTTGTCTGGGATGGTCCTCGCGTTAAGGGCGCGGTAATCGCCACAGGGACGCCAGGAATTGTCCTTTTTGAGGGTCAGGTGCAGTGGAGATGATCAAGCACTTTAAGACGGCCTTGCAGTTCCACTTCGTATCATTTCTTCAAATTCTTTTTTAGCTGAAATTAGCTTGTGAGGTGCTAAGCGACGAGGACGACACGACACAGGAGGGCCATCGGTTGTCTGTATGTGATGCACAGTATTGTGTTTGATCACTCTCGGTAATCCAGGAGGTCGAACAATGTCCGGGAATTCAGAAAGTAATGATGCATAATTTGAACTTCCTACAACAACTGCCTTGACGCTCGGCTGCTCTACTGCAAGACGTGAAACTGGACAACATAATCCAGTGGTACTGTCTATTAACTTTTTGTTGTGACAGTCTGGCAACAGGTGATAATGTGCCAAAAAATCGGCTCCAATTATAGCCCGTTGAACGTCGGCAACTACGAACAACCACAAAAAATCTCTACGCAACCCCAAGTTAAGACATAGATTGATGGTGCCATAAGTTCTAATCGTACTGCCATTTGCAGAACTGAGTTCATAATCCGAAATTTTGCGCTGACGTGGAAGCCAACTATGAAGAAAACAGCACAAATCGGATCCGGTATCTATTAGAAACTTGTGTTTGGTAACTTGGTCGGTAACAAAGAGACGGCGGCTGAGATGCGAGCAATCAGCTGCCGCCACTACTGACTGCTTTTCCGGT